CCATCGACCTCGACCTCGACGCCGCTGTCGGCCTCACCTCCCTCGCCTCATCCGGTGCTGTCGCCCTCTCCGGGAAAGGCAAGCCACATGCCCTGCGCAAGACCGCCGCCGCGACCAAGCCGAAAAAGGCATTGACGCCCGAACAACAGGCAAGGGAGTCGGCCAAGAGGAAGGGTCGGAGGCACGTCGCGGACGCGAGGGATGAGGCCGCCGCGCAGGCCGCCGCTGTCGCCGCCGCGCAGCAGAAGTTCACCAACGCCCGCGTCGCGGCGGCAACGAGGGAGGCGCTCTACATGCTGGGGGTAAACCCTAGCCAGCACAGCCTCATCCAAGCCATCGTCGCCGCGGCCAGCACCGGCTCGTCGGCGTTTCCTCGAATGGTGTTGCCCGACTCACCGCGCGCGTCGGCTTGCAACCCGATCCCTGGCTTCCACGTCTACCCGCAGGCCTCCCGCCTTTCCGGGGAGTGCTCGCCCGACGTTAGCGTGGTTGCGCTTTCCACGCCCGCGCCCGCGCCCATCGACCTCAACGCCACCTTGGTGGTCGGTGGCTCGTCATCCGGCGGCACGAGGAAACGCGCGTGGCAGACGCCGGCCGGCGGTCTCCCGGACGCCCGTAACCTGTTCGAGGAAATGCCGCCCACTGTCGACGAGGACTACATGCAAAACCTCATCTTCGAGGGTGGTGCACCGGGCGCTGGCTACGATCCCGACGAGACACAAAGCCAGGACGACCGCGGGGCGTTCACGCCGGCCGCTGGCTATGATCCCGATCAGGCGGCCTTCATGCGTGATCAGGTCGGCATCGACCTGGACGGCTTCCCCCTCGACGACGAGTTCTCGGACGACTATGGGCTAGAGGAAGAGGACGAGTGCGACATCGAAGTAGAGCCTTTGTTCGAGGACGAGCTCGCCAACCAAGCCACCGGTCCTAAGCCGAAGCGCAAGAGCAAGCGCAGGAAGGTGTACACAGCTAACGAGGACACACTTCTTTGTGAGTGTTGGCGATACATTGGACAAGACCCAAAGACGGGCGCCGAGTAAAAGCATTCAACCTTTTGGACTCGTGTGCGTCGAGAGTTTCATGAGCGCAAGAAGTTTCCACCTTACCAATTTGTGAGCACGCGCGGGTGGGTCTCCATTTTCAAGCGATGGAGGGTGATCCAACAAGAGTGCAACAAATTTTGCGCCACCCTTGAGAGCCTCAAGGCCCGCCCCGTGAGCGGCATCGGCATGCAAGACATGGTATGATAGCAAGCAAGCCGCCCTCTTTTGGGTCATCAAGATCATACTTTACGTGTTCATTTGCATATCACTTGCCCATATGCTTGCATGAATATATTTTGTATGCATTTCAAGCTTTGGAGGCATTCAAGG